AAATATGAACGCCTTTTCCTATGTATCGATACAATGACCTTGTCAGCAAATACAATTTATCATTTGATCAAATGCTGACTGACGTTTTTCATACTAATTGTTGGTTCATTTTTATACACTGAATTTACGACGGATTTTTCCGTTATTTCCCGATCATGAGAAGAAGCACACGGCGGGTATGACCGGGGATCCTCACTCCTCCATGGCACCTGATCCCACCTCTGTTTTGGAGGTCCGTGTTTGCTCTGCTCCTATTTTGTATTGTTTTATGGACTTTTGATCAGGAATACTGTTCGTTATTTCCATATAATTTATTCAGAAGTTATCATCGAAATTGATTTCTTTAATTTGGTCAATCGTGAAGGTCAAAGGGTCAGAAATCATACCATGCTCGGAAATACACCCTTTTTCTTGTCACAGGAAATGCACATGTCAAATATGAAAGCCCTATCTCTTCTCAATCATTTTTCTGAAAATCAGGTCAAACTTCAAGAACAAGGTCACAAGATAAAAAAATTCTAGTGTATTTAGAAAGGTCTTGTCAAAGGCAATACACAGATTAAATTTGAAAGCCTAATCTCTACTCGTTCAAAATTTATGACCAAGGTTAATGTTTTTGGAAAAGTAGGTCAAACTTCAAGGTCACGAGGTTAAAAAATCAAAGTGGGTTAAGACGTTTCACATGCAGGTAATATACATGTTTAATATGAAAGCCCTAGCTCTTCTCATTCAAAAGAAATGTTCAATTTTAAGTCTTTATTTTTTAAAAGTAGGTAAAACTTATAGGTCAAAGGGTAAAAAAATCATGTGACTTCAAGGTCACGAGGTCATATCATAGTGTATATAGAAAGTCGTGCCACAGGTAATATCCATGATTAACATGAAAGCCCTTTCTTTTCTCATTCAAAAGGTATGGTCAATTCAAAGTAATGATTAATTTTCTTATGCAATAGTAATGTGTCCGTCCGTCTGTCTGTGCGTCTGTCTGTCTGTAAACAATTTTTCAAAATGCTACTCCTCTTACAGTTTTGGTCTGTTTTCAATATAAATTGGCACAAATAGACTATACCAAGATACATAATTCTGTGCATCAGTTTTTGATTTCGATGAACGTTGTTTCCGTGGTTACTAAAAATAGAAAATTCTGTGAAATGCTTTTAAAATGCCTACTCCTCCTACAGTTTTGGTCGGATTTCAAGATAACTTGGCACACGTAGACTTTAATAAAATACATGATTCTGTGCATCGGTTTTTGATTTCGATGAACGTTGTTGCCATGGTTACTTAAGTAGAAATTTCTCTGAAATTCTTTGAGACTACACTGAGTACATAATTGTCTTTTTAGGGTTTTTGTTAATTTGTTGATTGATGTTTCCATGGTAACTAAAATGGAAAATTCTGTAAAATTTTATCAAAAGCTATTCCTACAGTAGTAGTCTAAATGCAATAATGCCACAAAAAGAGACTTAATCAGGATCATGATTCTATTTTTTGTTTTTTTAAAGTCCCAACTGCTACCTTTTAGGTCACCTGAGTAAACTCAGGTGACCTATTGCTATCCGTTTTCGTCCGTCGTCGTGCGTCGTGTGTTAACATTTGAGCATTTTCAGCTTCTTCTCTGAAACCACTGAACCAATTTCAACCAATTTTGGCATACAGCATCTATGGGTGAAGGGGAACAAAAATTTTGAATTTCATGGTCCCTGCTCCCCTGGGGCCTGAGGGGTGGGGCCAAAACCACTAAAATTAGTGTAATCTTTAAAAATCTTCTTCTTTACTCCTGGACATCAAGCAGACAAACTGTTGGTATGATTGTAATCAGCATTGAGTCCTCTACCAAAATTGTGAAATTCATTGCCCCAGGGTCAGGGGTTCTAGTGCTAGGGCGGGGCTCTATTGATTATATAGTGAAAATGCATTAATTCTTTGAAAATCTTCTTCTCTGCTCCTGGATATCAAATTTACAATCTAAGTACATAGTTATGATGAGCAAGAGTGCCTCTTTCAGATTTGTGAATTTTATGGCCCCAGGGTCAGGGGTTCTGTGTTAGGGCGGGGCTCTATTGATTATATAGTGAAAATGCATTAATTTTTGAAAATCTTCTTCTCTACTCCTGGGTATTGAATAAACTAACTAAGTACATTGTTATGATGAGCAAGAGTGCCTCTTTCAAAACTTTGAATTTCATGGCCCCAGGGTCAGGGGTTCTGGTGTTGGGTGGGGCTCTATTGATTATATAGTGAAAATGCATTAATTCTTTGAAAATCTTCTTCTCTGCTCCTGGGTATTAAATAAACTTACTAAGTACATTGTTATGATGAGCAAGAGTGCCTCTTCCAAAATTGTGAATTTCATGGCCCCAGGGTCAGGGGTTCTGGTGCTAGGGCGGGGCTCTATTGATTATACAGTGAAAAGCATTAATTCTTTGAAAATCCTCTTCTCTGTTCCTGTGTATTAAATAAACTAACTAAGTAAATTGTTATGATGCGCAAGAGTGCCTCTTTCAAAATTGTGAATTTTATGGCCCCAGGGTCAGGGGTTCTGGGGTTAAGGCTGGGCTCTATTGGTTATATTGTGAAAATGCATTCATTCTTTAAAAATCTTCTCTGCTTCAGGGTATTAAATGAACAACATAAAGTACATAGTTATGATGAGCAAGAATGGCGCCTCAACCAAATTGTGAATTTTTGTGCCACATGTGTCAGGGGTTTTGCCATTCGCTTGGGGGGGGGGGGGGGGGGGGGAGGGGGGCTTTTGATTATATAGTGAAAATGCATTAATTCTTTGAAAATCTTTTCCTTTGCTCCAGGGTATTAAATTATGCCAATGATCTAAGTATATATATATATATTTTGATGAAAAAAGGTATATCTAGCAAAATCGTTAATTAGATGCCCCCTGGGTCAGGGGTATAGGGTGGGGGGGGGGGGGGGGTGGGTTACATAGTCTGAAAATAAATTATTGCTTTGAAATCTGCTTTTTGGTATTAATAAACCATTTGTGATGAAATAAAATTTATGATAAAATTTCCAAAATTTTGAAATAAATGGCCCCAGGGTTAGTGGTTCCTTTGGGGTGAGGTGCATAACTGGTTATAAAGTGAAAGTGCATTTTCTCTTTGTTACTCTGATCTACGTCTGGGTATCAAGTAACTAGAGTAAGTATGGTAAGTGTATAATTATGATAAGCAATAGTGCCTCTTTCAAAATTATGAATTTCATGACCTCTGGTTTAAAACACAAAATAAATTCAATTGTTAAAAGTTGTTACATGATCCTCAGGTGACCTATAAGGCCCGTGGGCCTCTTGTTTCCTTTGTTATAAGTATAAACCAGTAGAGCTACAGTCTCGACAGAGGCTTCTGGTTTTAAAAAGTAAGATAAACTTCAAGGTCACGGGATCAAAAATTATAGTGTATTTAGAATGGTCTTGTCACAGATAATACACATATGAAATGTAAAAGGCCTATCTCTTCTCATTCTTGAAACGATAATCGATATGACCAAGGTTCAAGTTTTTGAGACGGACGGACAGACGAATGAGATCTAATGTCTAACGGGGGACAATGATATGTGTGCAAAGAAGGCAAATGATGAGTTTTATTTTTTTTTTTTTAAAGTTTCGAATTATGACCAACAAGTAATGCCACAGAAGGCGTTTCGAAAAGAGATTAATAAAAAATGTTCATATAGACTTGTTTCTCCAGAACAATATTTAAAAAAAAAAAAGCCTTTCATGGACACTGAATGGGAAAAAAATGAACAGTGTAATGTACAAAAGATACTGAACAGAGACAAAAGCGATAGCGAGTTAAAATGACCTAAATTTTGTATGTGAAGGGTATTTTATTGCACAATTTAAAATGTGATGTAGGTCATATACTTGTTACTTTAGGTATTTACTGTAATTTCCAGTGAAGCTTAGATTAGTCTGGACTTGACGGAATGTTACACATCAACAATTGTATATAAAAAAAAAAGTAACAATAGGAATCCATTCATAAAATACCTGTTATATGGCTTAGATTTCAGTAGCCGACATTAATGCCCCTATACCTGTTTACATACCATTCAATCTCTTAAATCCCTATTTTATAGCAGGGTATCCTTACAAACATCTGTAACTGTTAGGCTGATGTATGACGGGAAAGGTGGGTCTCTCTCTCTCAGAATTAGAATTTCATAATGTACGTAAAACGAATCATATTTATTTCAAAGACATTGGATTACGTTTTCATGCTCAGAAATATTTAGATTATCCAGGTATTTCATTTTTATGACACGGTGACAAATCACAAAATCTGTTAAAAATCAATTTTACGGAAAGTATGGGAGCCGTAATCTGTCAACTTTGATCGTCAAGAGGTGGTCTAGAATGTTTTAAGTGGATACCTCAAGAAAAGTAATTTGATGATACTTAATGTGTGGTACGTATACATTGAATTTTTACTTGTAATATTTTGAATTTTCCATTCCTGTTGACTCGAGAAAAATCGTCACCAACAGAGGATTGTTTAACGTCCCTCTCGATAGCTTTTCACTCATATGGAGACGCCACCACTTGCCGATGGAAAGCTGCAAATTTTGTCCTATACTCATCACTCAGGTCCATTGAGCAGGGAGGGATCTTTATCGTGCCAGCACCTACTGCAACACGGGTGTATATGTTCTCATCCGAAGGACCGGTCTCCACGTCCCACAGTGGGATTCGAACCCGCGACGCAAGGATCAATTCTTTACATTGCGACTCTAGAGCAGACGCTCTAACCACTGCGACACCAGCCGAGGAAGTGTAATTATTAGATCACTCTCGTGTCATGCACCTTTGTCAGTTTACCAGCATTTATCGTGTCCAAATATTCTGTATAATACACTATCGTTAATATTATGTACAGGATAGAATAAAAGTCTGAACCGTTCCTATGTTAATTCCTGTCTGTCAAATTTCTTCTGCAAAAAAATGTACTAAAAATTCTAATTAAAAAAATATTTTAAAACTTAGAAAAGCAATGGAGAAAAACAAACACAACATTGTTGAAAAACTTCAAAAGGAGACGACTTTGAGGTCTACTATTGTGAAAGTTGCTGTTGAAGTGGGATTATACGTCATTCGTAAGTCTTATTTTTTTCCATAAAAAAGGCGATGCCTTCTTCTGATTTTTCCCAAAAATGTCATAATTTCCTTTAGAGAATTTTTTCTTAAATTTATATTAGTTTTCTTTTTCAGTTCTTTAAGATATGAAAACATGCAATAAATTATATATTTTAATATGCCTTAATTTATGTTATGAACGCCCCTGATTGGTTCTACACAATTACGTGGCAAAAAATATCATTTCCCTTTCGTCTGTTTAATTTCCTTTTTTTGTTGGCTTGAACATATGCTTATTTTCTTTTTTCCACAAGAACAAAGAGGATTGTCAATGTATACTGTTACTTTTAAAAATATTTATCTAAAACACAGTTGTTTTGTTGTATAAATTAGATTCATTTTTCTTTTTTTTAATTCATCTTTGAAATATAGAAAATAAGATCTATCAAAAATATATTTGACGGGTTGTCGATTTGTTATTATAATAATGAATTTATTTCATTTAAAGACTTCAAAAAGATTCAAAAATTTATAATGAATGAATTCGTTTGATCGCATTCAAAAATTTGGGCCTTTAGAAAAATATACTCATAAGTACGATATAACGGATTGTCGATTCATTAAAACCGAATTTAAATCGTGATAAAACATTATAGAATTCATTAAAATGATTTCAATTCGTTATAATTTTGTTTTGTTTTGTTGAAAATTCGTATAATTGAGTTCAAAGGAATTGACACAACGATCGCTATCATAAATTCGACAATTCGTTTTATCGAATTCAAAAATATTTTGGATAGGAACTAAATGGGACTTCTCATGTTTTGTTGTTTTTTTTTTTTTTTTTTTTTTTTTTTTTTTAGTTTTTTTTTTTCTTTTGGCTCACCTGAGCCGAAGGATCAAGTGAGCTTTTCTGATCACATTTTGTCCGTCGTCCGTCCGTCCGTCTGTAAACTTTTAACATTTTCGACTTCTTCTCAAGAACCACTGGGCCAATTTTGACCAAACTTGGTACAAAGCATACTTGGGTAAAGGGAAATTTAAATTGTTAAAATGAAGGGCCAAGTCCCCTCACAAGGGGAGATAATCAAGTAAAGACAAAAATAGGGTGGGGTCATTAAAAAATCTTCTCAAGAACCATTGGGCCAGAAAAACTGAAACTTATGTGGAAGCATCCTGGGATAGTGTAGATTCTAAATTGTTCAAATCATGACCCCCGGGGGTAGGGCGGGGCCACAATGGGGAATCAAATTTTTACATAGAAATATATAGGAAAAATCTTTGAAAATCTTCTTCTCAAGAACCACTGGGCGAGTAAAGCTGAAACTTTTGTGGAAGCATCCTGGGGTAGTGTAAATTCTAAATTGTTCAAATCATGAGCCCCGGGGGTAGGACGGGGCCACAATGGGGAATCAAAGTTTTACATAGAAATATATAAGAAAAATATTTGAAAATCTTCTTCTCAAGAACCACTAAGCCAGAAAAACTGAAACTTATGGGGAAGCATCCTTGGGTAGTGTAGATTCTAAATTGTTTAAATCATGACCCCCGGGTGTAGGGCGGGGCCACAATGGGGAATCAAAGTTTTACATAGAAATATATAGGAAAAATCTTTGAAAATCTTCTTCTCAAGAACCACTGGGCCAGTAAAGCTGAAACGTATGTGGAAACATTCTGGGGTAGTGTAGATTCTAAATTGTTCAAATCATGACCCCCGGGGGTTTGGCGGGGCCACAATGGGGAATCAAAGTTTTACATAGAAATATATAGGAAAAATCTTTGAAAATCTTGTTCTCAAGAACCCCTGGGTCAGTAAAGCTGAAACTTATGTGGAAGCATCCATGGGTAGTGTAGATTCTAAATTGTTCAAATCATGACCCCCACGGGTTGGGTGGGGTCATGATGGGGAATCGATGTTTTACATAGAAATATATAAGAAAAATCTTTGAAAATCTTCTTCTCAGGAACCATTGGGCCAGAAAAGCTGAAACTTATGTGGAAGCATCCTGGGGTAGTGTAGATTCTAAATTGTTCAAATCATGACCCCCAGGGGTAGGGCGGGGCCACAATAAGGAATCAATGTTTTACATAGAAATATATAGGAAAAATCTTTGAAAATCTTCTTCTCAAGAACCACTGGGCAAGAAAAGCTGAAATTTATGTGGAACCATCCTGAGGTAGTGTAGATTCAAATTGTCTAAATTATGATCAATGGGGTAGGATGGGGTCACAATATGTATTACAAGGGGGAAATCTGGTAAAGAACAGAATGACCAAAGATTCTCAGGTGAGTGATGTGGCCCATGGGCCTCTTGTTTGTTTTGTTTTTTAAATCTGAAGTTTGACTATCGATGTGAGTTTGAGTAAGCAAGAGTTATACAACTTGCAATTTTTTCCAACTCAGATATAAACATTAATATTTTTTAACAGTGGGGACCTTTGATGTTCTACTGGCCTACAATAAGATAAACTTTTTTCGGCCTTTTCGACGAGGCTTCTTTTGCAGCGACCAAAGTCTGATGTTTCCATATAAGGAATTATCCGTAAAAGAAAGTCACGTGATACTAATTGCGCTTTTGCCCTCAACTTTAATTGTGAGTCACAGTTTTAACCTGACTGAAACATTTAAAACAACGTCAATTGGATTGCATTTCAAAAATTATTTTCGATGGAATGTTATATTTATCATAAAACAGAAGTTTGAGATCATTTCTTTTATTTTTAGATCTTTGCAACCGAGATTTTTAGAAATGGTCGAAGATTGAAGAAATATTGTTACCTTCAGTTGTATTATAGGATAATTGGCTCCATGTTGTTTGGATTTTCTTTGTGCATTCTCTTTGTCGAATTGACTAAATCTAGTGTGGGGAGTCTTCGTCCATATTTCTTTGCTGTATGTCGACCAAACATGACCCTGACAAACTGCACAGATGTTTACATCACTGATTACGTTTGTAGAGGAACAGATAGCGCTCTCATCTTTGATGCAAGGTATTTCAGAATCTGATTCTGAATTGAAGATATGGTTAATAGTTATTCTCATTTAAAAGTTGTACGCATTACACTTCTGCTTCTTCCAAAGATCATACACTACACTCACTGTATTAACAAGCAAATTCAAAGATTTCTGGTCCCCCGCTTTCGGTGTTTTAGTGAATGGGGTGTCATTATTTGTGACATATTGTGTCAAATATGAATGCCATATCATATATGATTCAAAAGTAATCACCGAAGTTATCTTTTTTAAATTAGTTTGAAGGTCAAGGGATCAAAATGCGTAGCAAGTTTGGAAACATCTTATTTTTGATCAGGCACATGTCGATTATAAAAGCCATATCTCTTCTCATTCAAAAGTTATAGAAAAAGAACAATTTTATGAAAAGTAGGTCAAAATTAAAGTTTAAGGTCACAGGGTCAACAATCATTCTCTATTTTAAAAGGCCATGTCAAGGATACATGTATATACATTTGTGTAATAAGAAAGTCTTGTATGTTCTCTTTCAACAGTTATGACCAATTTAAAGTAATGTTCAATTTTTTTTTTTAAAAATAGGTCAAACTTCAAGGTCACGAAGTAAAAAATTATAGAACATTTGGAAAGGTCTTGTCACAAGTAATATACAAGTAAAATATGGTAGTTTTATCTCTTCTCATTCTAAAGATACATGTATAAAGGTCCAAGTTTTTGTGACAGACGGACAGACGAATGAGATTTAATGTCCCTTCACTGCCAAATGTCATCAATTTACCTTTAAATTGTAATTATCTGCCCTTGGACGATGGCTTGACCCTTGATTTGAGGAAACTTTAATCCCCTTCACCCAAAGATACTAATGTGCGAAGTGTGGTTGAAATTGGCCCAGTGGTTCTGGAGAAGATGATGACATTGTAAAAAATTAACACTTACGAAAACGGACAAATTTCGATCAGAAAAGCTCACTTGACCAAGAGGGCAAAAGGGGCTACGAATCAAACATCTCAGTTGTAATTTATATAACATGCTTATAATTTATCAGTACATATTAGTGTAAACATTATCTTTAAAATGACTGCAATTTTTATTTGCAGAAAATCTTTTCCCTCTGGCCATGCTGCCAGTGTCTGGTATGCAGCGACTTTCCTTGTGGTAAGTAAAAGCTTGAAGACGATAAAATTAACGCAATGTAAATCCACAAGAAACGTAACAGAAATTTAAAAACACCAACAATCGTCCTCCATTAACAGATCTACATACATTTACGCATTTATCGTCGATGGAAGAGATCACGTGCATTCTGTCCAATAATACAGACGTTGGTGGCGGCTTCTGCTTTGTATGTTGGTGTGAGCCGTATCCAGGACAACGCTCATCGTCCAATAGACATCCTTGCTGGGGCAACAGTGGGAATCATTTTTGCTATAATAACGGTATTTGTATTTTTACTTATCTTAAATTGCCTCGAAAAACGAAAATTTCGGTCAAAGACAAAAGAACTAATTACATTGCAGTATTTCTAATATGTGTTAATACTAGTATTTATGACTTCCCTTTAATTCAAGGTAACGAACAAAGAACATGCTCGAAAGTCCCTATTAAAAGATACGAATTGTGAGCAAATTACATCCAAGAGAAAAACCATTGTATCGACAAAAGAATTTGTGATATCTTGACCTTAACGGAATTGTTGAAATCCTAGCTTGCTTCGTCAACTTATTTGTCAATAGCACACTTCATTTCAGAAAATAATTATTCGTGCGAAGAACATTTTTTTGCTTATCGAATCAATGAGAGACAGATTCCATATGCAGGTGTTTGATGCAGGCGATCCATGCTGTATACATGTAGCTGTAACACCCACGGGCGGAATTGTCAGAAGTAGACCATAACTTTAGCTTATCCCACAGTACATGTACCTAATCAATTTTACTACATCACTTTTTGCATATATGAAATATCTTCTTGGCTTTCAAACTAGGTTTGATCAGTGAAGTACTAGTGTCTTCAAACTCTTTGTTTCGAAACAATTCTCCATATTTATACCCCCCGCTTGAAAAGTGGGAGGGTATATAGTAATCGGTATTTACGTCCGTCCGTCTGTTAATCCGTCCGTCTGTACGTCCGTCCGTCCGTCCGTCTGTTACGCTTTATCTCTTATCCGCAACTCCTCTTATACTACTGAGTGAAATTTAATGAAACTTTCACAGAATCTTTATTACATATTGCCATTGTGCACCTCCTATTTTACTTTTTTATTCGACACGTATTTTAGGTTTCCCATAGCAAAACATGGACATTGCCATTATATGTTTACCCATGACGTCACTATAGAAGCTTCTGGATAACATTTGATAGGACGAGTTATTCCTCTTTACACATTACCGTAAAACAATATTTAGCAACACATGGACATTATGGGAGGCGGGGGTATCATTTAGTGAGCTCATTGCTCACAGTACCTCCATATTTTATTTGTACATTGGCGTGACAGTAAATTCATCTAGTCTAATGGAATTTCACCTAACAAAAATGGCTGCGATTTTGAAAAGATGATCCATCATTTTCTACTTTTTTGGTTTCTTGCTGTCAGTGACATTTGGGTCACGTTCAAACAACACTGAAAATGAGACAATCCTTGTGTGCTTGTCGACAATGGCCAAAAAGTAAATTTCCTTCCTTTAACTTTGATAAGCGTTCATAATGGTTTGTTTCAAGTTCTTTGTATTTATATAGAAAATAGTTTGCAAATAATTACACCTCCTTTATATATAATTATGTTTTTCATTCACCCTTTCTTCTGACAAATGTCAAAAGTGATCGAGGTAATATTGCTCTACATGTGGGACGCACTATAACAGTAAACTAACATTTGTTGACTTTTGTATATTCCAGATTTACTTATCCTCTGTGTTCACAGAAAAAGGAACGAAAACTTACTGCACTGCAGTGAACAGCGAGGAGGAGAGGCAGTTCACTATGGAGAATGAGACATAACCCTTACACTCTGACATTGAACTACTTTGGAGAACGATGCATAACTCTTGCACTCTTATACGTCGAGCAGGGCTAGCACAGTGAAAAATATCTCGCGAGCACTGAGGAGGCTTCGCTATCTTTACAGAGATTCCAGACCATACGATGTCTTCGAGTTCCTGATGGTTTCATATTTTGGACGGTCAAAATAGTAATGACAGACGCCCTGAAATTCATTTAAAGAAGATGGGCGAACAAGACGAGCTAAATGCCTATTGTGCGACTTAAGGGAATACTGTATTTTGGAGTAGCATTTTGAGAGTATTTAACAGAAACTTCTATTTTTAGTAACCAAGGCAATAATGTTCATCAAAGTCAAAATGCTACTCCTCCTATAGTTTTGGTCTGATTTCAATATAACTTGGCAAACAAGAAGACTACAATAAGGTACATAATTCTGTTTATCAGTTTTGGATTTCAATGAACGGTGTTGCCGTGGTTACTAAAAATAGAAATTTCTGTGAAATTCTTTCGAAATGCTACTCCTCCTACAGTTTTGGTCTGATTTCAATATAACTTGGCACACAAGTAGACTACACTAAGATACACAATTCTATATATCGGTTTTTGACTTTGATGAACATTATTGCCTTGGTTACTAAAAATAGAAGTTTCTGTTAAATACTCTCAAAATGCTACTCCAAAATACAGTTTTAGTCTTGATTATAATATAATGTGGCATACAAGCAGACTACACTAAGAACATGAAGAGACTTAATCAAGGATCATTATTCTATTCATTGCTTTTGTTAAGTTTCAATTCCCAACTGCTTAAGTGCTTTTCTTTTCCTTTGCTATAAGTACAAACCAATAGAGCTTCAGTCTCAACAGAGACTTCTGGTTTTATTTCTATTAAGCAGACTTAAACTTAACTTCCGGAAATGGTACGAAAATCGTTCAATCGTATAATTACCGATTTTTACAAAATTGAAGATATGAATACTCAGTACTTTAGAGATACAAAATTCTTCATTATATATCATTATTTTCCCTAAAATAGGATGATGGGTTTCTTTTGTGTTTCAGTATAGCATATACATATGTAGTACACCGAAGATAGAAATAAACTCTTCAAACAAAATCACAACAGAACTTTTCCATATGAATTGGTCTGCGCTTTGTAGCAACCTCTAATGATAAAACGCCGCTTAATGATACAAATAGCATTAAGCGTTGCAATTGCAACGCTTAATGCCATAAATTATTGCATTAATAGCTGACATTATCAACCGCTAATGCTAAATCGCCGCTTAATGACAGAATTATATCATTAAGCGTCACAAATGCAGTGCAACATCGACGCTTAATGAAACAAGCAAATATCGATATATTCGACGCTTAATGATACACACTAGTGTATCATTAAGCGTTGCAGTTGCAACCCTTAATGAAATAAAATTTAGAAATCGCTTATAATTTCTAAGAGAAACACACATCCACCTTTCCTGAACAATGAGATATCACTTGTCAAAATATTTATATATGCCCTTGTGCTATATAAATGGTAATTATTGAAGTTTTACTGTGTTTTCTATCTAGTCAAGGGAACGTCTTGAAGCCCCGGATATTTAAGAGACAGACAGTCAGATAGCTGGAAGAAAGAGATACAAACAAAGGGATAAATAAAATGATAGTCAAATCCTTTTAAAAGAACCATTTTTACTGAAAATACAGAAGCAAACAAGCAATTAAATTCCTTTTAATTTGATACAATGATTTGAATATTATATTTGAATATCTTTATCGAAACTTTGTATTTTAGATTTGATACGGCTTAACACATATCACTGTTAATGTTTTAGATATACGTATCGATATTTTCACTATTGCTTCGTTTCTCCAAATCCGAAAAAGAGAGACATAAATATTGACAACTTATGTTTAAGGATATATAACAAAGAATACAAGTACATGTAATACAAAGAATAATATATATTGTGTTGAGAAAAAGGTTCATATATGCTTTAATTGTGAGCAGTGTTACTTGAATACATCACTGTTGCATGATTATTTTAGAATTAATTTTGAATTCTAGTATATATCAAATTTAGGGATGTCAAAATTGTCAATAATTGATATTCGAATATTCGATAGTAGTATTCGAATATATTCGAATATTCGATCAAATAAATACATCTTGCATTAAAATATGACTCTCTTGTAAAGCAATATACCTTTTATATCATTATTTTGGAATAAAATTTCATGTAGAGTTTTGTAAATGCACTATGATTATATTCTTTAAAAATTTTACAGAATAAATGTAGAGTTAACATCCATAATATATAAATAAACAAAATTTCCCAAGAAAATTCAAAAGATTCTTTTAATAAGTTCCAGATCAATTAATTGTCTTACCAAAGTGTACACTGATAACCCTACAGATTTATACCACACAGAACAATTATCTAATGGAGAGACATTAAAAGCAATTACTTTTAGCTAATTGATTTCCTGATAATGATTTTAAATTATGTATACATAAATAAGGGATGTTTGTTACTTTCAAAATGTGTCCTTTCAACAATACAAACTAATTCTAAGTACTGGACACTGTTATACATCTAATTAAAAGATCAAATAAATAATTCAAATTATTTTAATGAACACACTCTTCACACCTTTAAGGTAATTCAAGAGGAGTGTCTTTCAATTTTGTTTTAATTAAAATCTTTTTGTTGGTCAACGATAAGAATTTGATTCAATTTTTGATAAAGCTTCAGATTTTACCAGATTTTTTTTCTTTTTGATGTTTGTATACTTAAAATCCGAATATTCGAATCATAATTTTATATTCGAATATCAACTCATCGAATGAATATTCGAATATTCGAATATTCGTTGACATCCCTAATCAAATTACAATATATATATTGACTGAGGTTGAAGAGGCTGTTTTTTGTTTTTAATTCTAAATGACGCATATTTCATTTGTAATATATTTTTTTTCTTTCGATATATAAGACTAAGTTTACATCTGACTAATATTAAAATGAAATAGGTTTAAATGAATAAAGTTCTTTTTAGGTACAGGATAGACCCTCTCTATTAATACTAGTATTCATCAGAAGTATTTCGTTCACTGCGAATGGGTATTGAAAGGTCCGACTATGCTATACTTGCATTAGTTAATACTTTAATGAGCTACAAAATATTCTCGTCTCATGCAACTACGGCCAGAATGGGAGAGGATCATACATTTTGACCGTGGTTAGCGACGTTCCAAAGTTTTCACTATAGCAAATGAAAGTTCCAAAGTTTTTACCTTGGTTCTTTAGTTAATTATATTAATAAACTATATAGTTTTCTATAGAATTTTTTTTGTTAATGACATGTCCGCTATTTAACGTCAGCCGTGAGTGAAAACAAGAGGCCCAGGGGCCACAGCGCTCACCTGAGCACATCAGCTAGGAAAAACACGTATCAGATCAGAACTGAAAGGTAACTAAAGTTGGGGGGGGCTTCAATTTTAACCCCCAAGGGGATCACAATTTGAACGAACTAGAATCTACATTACCTGAGAATGATTCCATATAAATATTACTAATCATGGCTTTGAAGTACTTGAAAAGAAGATTTAAAAAGGTTTCCCATTATATTCCTATGTAAAACTTTGATCGGCTATTTTGGCCCTGCCCTATCCCCGGGGGTCATGACTTGAACAAACTTAAGTCTACATTACCTGAAGATGATTCCATATGAGTTTCATCTTTCCTGGCCCAGTGGTTCTTGAGAAGAAGATTTTTAAAGATTTTTCCTATATATTTCTATGTAAAACTTTGGTCGGCCATTTTAGCCCCGCCCAACCCCCAGGGGTCATGACTTGAACAAACTTAAGTCTACATTACCTGAGGATAATTCCACATGAGTTTCATCTTTCCTGGCCCAGTGGTTCTTGAGAATAAAATTTTTAAAGATTTTTCCTATATATTTCTATGTAAAACTTTGATCGGCCATTTTGGCCCAGCCCTACCCCTGGGGGTCATGACTTGAACAAACATATATTACCTGAAAATGATTCCATATGAGTTTCATCTTTCCTGGCCCAGTGGTTCTTGAGAAGAAAATTTTTAAAGATTTTTCCTATATATTCCTATGTTAAACTTTGATCGGCCATTTTGGCCCCGCCCTATCCCCGGGGGTCATAACTTGAACAAACTTAAATCTACACTACCTGAGGATGATTCCACATGAGTTTCATCTTTCCTGGCCCAGTGGTTCTTGAGAATAAAATTTTTAAAGATTTTTCCTATATATTCCTATGTAAAACTTTGGTCGGCCATTTTGGCCCCGCCCTACCCCTGGGGGTCATGACTTGAACAAACATATATTACCTGAAAATGATTCCACATGAGTTTCATCTTTCCTGGCCCAGTGGTTCTTGAGAAGAAAATTTTTAAAGATTTTTCCTATATATTCCTATGTTAAACTTTGATCGTCCATTTTGGCCCAGCCCTACCCCCGGGGGTCATAACTTGAACAAACTTAAATCTACACTACCTGAGGATGATTCCACCTGAGTTTCATCTTTCCTGGCCCAGTGGTTCTTGAGAAGAAGATTTTTTAAGATTTTTCCTTTATATTTCTATGTAAAACTTTGGTCGGCCATTTTGGCCCCGCCCAACCCCTGGGGGTCATGACTAAAACAAACTTAAATTTACATTACCTGAGGATAATTCCACATGAGTTTCATCTTTCCTGGCCCAGTGGTTCTTGAGAAGAAGATTTTTAAAGATTTTTCCTATATATTCCTATGTAAAACTTTGATCGGCCATTTTGGCCCCGCCCTACCCCCAGGGGTCATGACTTGAACAAACTTGAATCTACATTACCAGAGGATCATTCCACATGAGTTTCATGTTTGCTGGCCCAGTGGTTCTTGAGAAGAAAATTTTTAAAGATTTTTCCTATATATTTCTATGTAAAACTTTGGTCGGCCATTTTGGCCCCGCCCAACCCCCAGGGGTCATGACTTGAACAAACTTAAGTCTACATTACCTGAGGATAATTCCACATGAGTTTCATCTTTCCTGGCCCAGTGGTTCTTGAGAATAAAATTTTTAAAGATTTTTCCTATATATTTCTATGTAAAACTTTGGTCGGCTATTTTGGCCCCGCCCTACCCCTGGGGGTCATGACTTGAACAAACATATATTACCTGAAAATGATTCCATATGAGTTTCATCTTTCCTGGCCCAGTGGTTCTTGAGAAGAAAATTTTTAAAGATTTTCCCTATATATTCCTATGTTAAACTTTGATCGGCCATTTTGGCCCCGCCCTACCCCCGGGGGTCATAACTTGAACAAACTTAAATCTACACTACCTGAGGATGATTCCACATGAGTTTCATCTTTCCTGGCCCAGTGGTTCTTGAGAATAAAATTTTTAAAGATTTTTCCTATATATTTCTATGTAAAACTTTGGTCGGCTATTTTGGCCCCGCCCTACCCCTGGGGGTCATGACTTGAACAAACATATATTACCTGAAAATGATTCCACATGAGTTTCATCTTTCCTGGCCCAGTGGTTCTTGAGAAGAAGATTTTTAAAAAATTTTCCTATATATTTCTATGTAAAACTTTGGTCGGCCATTTTGGTCTCGCCCAACCCCCGGGGGTCGTGACTAAAACAAACTTAAATTTACATTACCTGAGGATAATTCCACATGAGTTTCATCTTTCCTGGCCCAGTGGTTCTTGAGAAGAAGATTTTTAAAGATTTTTCATATATATTCCTATGTAAAAATTTGATCGGCCATTTTGGCCCCGCCCTACCCCCGGGGGTCATGACTTGAACAAACTTG